TGTATCATCTGATTCTGGATACATATTGCTCAACATTTCTAATACCACAACCAATAATTTGTCTCTTGCTATCACTTTTCACAAACCTTGATTCTTCATCACACAGTTAATTTTCTAACCTGTAAACTATGCAACTTTCTATGCATATAATTTTGTCTAGTGTAAACATGAAAACAATTGGCATTTTCAAGTATATTTAACATAAAAAGCTTATACTATTAATTTAAAGGGAAAATTACATATACCCCCTCGAGGTTTAGCAAAATTACAGATACCCCCTGTAGATACCCCATGTTTGACCGACCTTAAGATTCAGACGTCATCGATTGAGCGCTCGGTGATGACATATGTTGTGCTCGTTCTGAGGTTACAGAGTCTCGGCTGAGAGCCTTGCCTCTGGACCTCGGGACTCTTTTGTGCTTTGCCTCGGTTTACGAACCAAGTTCTGTTTTCTTTTCCCGAAGGGAGGGAGAGGCCTCGTAGACCATCTCTCAATGGCCGTAGGCTACTTTTCGTGGTCGTAGACCACTATTCCTGTTTGGAGACCAGTTTTCGATTTTCGGAGTCGTCGACCGTGCGTCTCGATTCGGGACCGCTTAACTTTCTCCGTTTGGCACGATTTTTGGAGAGCTTGAACATTTTTTTAGCTTCTTGAGGAAGCTTGAACCTTTTGAACCTTTGTTTTAGCTTCTTGAGGAAGCTTGAACCTTTTGAACCTTTTTTTTTAGCTTCTCCAAGAAGTTTGAACATTTTTTTAGCTTCTTGAAGAAGCTTGAACATTTTTTAGCTTCTCCAAGAAGGTTGAACCTTTTTTTAGCTTCTCCAAGAAGCTTAAACCCTCTTGTTTTTCTATAAGAGAGGCCCTCCCTCTCCTTTAGAGGGGTTCAAAATTTTTTGGTTAAGGCATATACATACACTCCTCTCTATCTCTCTATTTCAAGCTCCAAAGTCCCTTGTTCTTGGCCCATTGCATACCACCTTCTATCCTAACCCCTCCACCATCACTCTAAGCATCTTGGAGGCCATTTTCAGAGGTTGAAGGTTTGCATTTTTGATCCAAAAGTTGCTGGAGTTCTTGGCTTCAAGGGTAACACTTCTTTCCATTTTTTAAGCATTGTTTAGCTTCATCTTTTAGCTATATTTGCAAGCATATTTGGGATTTTTCATAAACTGAAAAAATTCTTATTTTGAGGTCCTTAACATGTTTGTTTAAGATCATTTTTCTGTTGGGGGTCATCTACCCCCTTGCATGCTTCATTTCACCTTGTTTTGAGCCATGCATTAGGGCCTTTGTGTTGAGCTTTGTTGGCCCTTTTGACCACTGAAATCTAGCGGATTTTCAGTGATTATTATGTATTTTTGAGAGCCAAAATCAAAGAGGGGTGACCCTCTCACCCCTTGTCTAGTTTCATAGCATATTTGGCCTAACAAGGGAGCCCATGTGTGCATGCTTCCAAGCCATGTTTCAGGCCATTTTTGGTGAGTTTTAGGACCTGCATGAGCTCTGTCCAGAGCTGGTTTTTCCATATTAGGTGTCCCTCTTGCATGTGTAGAATAACCCTCTTCATAGCATATCAAAGAAGCCTATACTTGCATGCTTTCTAGCCTTATTTCAGGCCCTTTTCAGTGAGTTTTAGGGCATGCATAACCTCTATCTAGAGGTGGTTTTATCATATTGAGTGTCCATCTTGCATGTGTAGAACAACCTTCTTCATGGCCTATCAAAGGAGCATCTCATTCTTGCATGCATAGACAATGTTTCAGTGGGTTTTGGGGCTTTATTTGGCATGTCATACCTCTTCCTTTTACTGGTTTAGTGGCCTCTTGAATGCCTTGTATACTTGTAGTGTAAACCCTCTTCACTAGCTTGTATTGCATGTTGTTTTGACCCTTGATTCTAGCACTTTTTGGCCATGCCTTAAACTGATTTTGTGCATGTTTTGGACTGCCTTAGCTCTGTTTTTATGCCTCATTGTCGAATGATGCTTGCTATGCATGGTTGTAGTTCAATACCCTTGTTTAGCTTTGAGTTTTGGAGCCTATTGCATGCTTATACTGAGGTGTTTTCATGTTTTGGGGTCATTGAGCATGCTATTTCAGAGCTTATACTTATGTTATATTCCCATGTTTTCCACTCTTTAAATGCATTTGAGAGTTGTGCTTGTATGCCTCGTTTATGGACCATTGCATGAGTTTCATTTCCATGCATTTTGAGCTATCATTTTAGGCCATTTTTCCACTATCTTGGACCTGCATAGGGACTGTTTGGGGCTGGTTAGGTCATTTGTGCATTGCTTTGGGTACCTATAGTGTAATCCACTTCACTAGTTTCGGTATTTGGGCCATCTAGCATGCATTGTGTGAGGTGTTTGCATGTTTCGAGACCATCTTGCATGTCATTTCAGAGCTGGAAAATATGTGATTGTATGCCATATTTCATGCTTACCATGCTTTGGTGGAGTTGCACTTTGTGCCTTAGGTTTGGTCCATTGCATTTGTGCATGATTGCATGTGTGTTGTTGCTTCATTTTCATCATGTATTGGCCACTGATTTGAGTGTGGCTGAGGCCCATTCATTTTAGTTTAAGTCCATCTTGCATTGTATATGCCATGTAGTCTATGTTGTTGCATGATTGACCATTGCATTGTGTATGCCTTGATCGTCTCATTGATAGTCTTCATATGTGCATTGTGTATGCCATATAGTTCGTGTGCATTGAGTATGCCATTCTTAGTTCATAGCATTGCGTATGCTAGTTGCATCTTTGCATGTCATTTCTTGCATGCTTGCATGTCTTAGTTGCATTTCATTTAGGATTGCATGCTAGTTGTTGCATAGTGTTTGGAGTAGGATTTAGTCCAAACACGGGAAGCGAAGGACATTTCGTACTCCAAGTGACGAAACGTGCCTCGATTCTCGGTCATCGACACTCCGGATTACCCATGATGGAGTTCAGGCCTTGTTGCGTTTATATGTGCATTCATTTTACATCGAGTCGTGCAATCCGACTCCTCGGCCATCATGTATCGAGATGTGTGATTGGTGGCATGAGGATCGAGGACTACACTCCCTAGAGCTCATGCAATGACGGGGAGAGTGGTTGTGCATACATATGTTGAAAATACTTTGCCATGCCCCTTTCTTGCTCTCTGTTGCAGCAAACCGGAAGCCAGCAGCAAAAACTAGTCAGCAGTATCCCTACAAGTTCCCATGGAGTTATGTATAGTGTTCCGGGGTCAATTGTAAACAGCGACAAATCGGGGCATCGCGATGGATTTCCCGATAAGGCGACTCGAGCATGCATACATCTTTCATCATTCCGAACAGAGCTGAGGCAGTCTACTTCATGAAGCATTGCATGCTAGTTTACTCGCTTTCTTAGTTAATTTGTTAATTAGCTAGTGTTGTGTAATAATTAGTTATTCATTTTGGTTGTGTAATATTTATTCGGACCCTCTGCGAGAGGGCAATGTTGTAATAAGTGTGCGTGTGTGTGACGTATGTCTTCCAACCCCATGTCTTTCTCCCTTTTATTTACCAGCATATGATAGTTAGTTTTAGGGCATGTTTCAATTAGCATCTATATGTTCGCATGTTTGCATTCATTCATCTGTATTGCATGCACCGGGCTCGGCGCATCATGCTAACTGCATTGTATTTCAATTCCAAGTTGAATACATGTATCGATTGTTGCATCTCATATGCCATCTTAGAATAGCCGAGCCTATTGTAGTTGCATTTTTGCATGTATTGCATTAGGCATTCTTAACATAGTTAGGATTCATGCATGATTTCTAATTAGCTTCTTTCTTTGGCTCGGAGTACTCGGTAAGTGTTTATGCTTTAGTATCCTTGCATATGTGTGAGTGACTGCCATGATAGCGTGCTTACCATGAGGCTATGTGCTTATATGATATAACTGCCTGAATGCCTGTGGGTGAAGGTTGGATTATTTGAATTGGAACAATTCATTGATTGCGAGTTTTAAGCCCACTTGAGAGTGGCAAATCACCATATTTTCTAAGCCCACTTGAGGGTGGCAAAATCCGCATTTTAGCCTACTTGCGAGTAGCAATCCGCTTTAAAAAATAAACATGAGATGTTTTGTTCCAACTTAGATGATCTAATTTATACTTGTATGCTGTGCGCATCACGTAGCAATTCTAGGCTGATAAACCGGAATAAGAGCACATAATGTTTTCAAAACTCGATATCATGGTTAGTAGAGGCCGATCTTTGATCGGGCGAGCGGGAGTGCTCACGAAGTGACCTTCCCTAATCGTACCCAAGTTCCCTAGCCGAGGCAACTTTGGTGATGACGGACACGTGGCCTTAGGCACGAGTCAGGGTTTCCTAAATTCTCCCAAAATAAAATATTTAGGTGGCGACTCTGTATCTGGCAAAGCAGTCCATGTTTGGCACTTCTCTCTAAAAATCAGTTTTTCAAAACGATTTGCCGAATTTGGACTCTTTGGTGATTTATCGATCTTGCATTGCACTTTGCGAAATTAGATTCAGAACCATGACATTTCGAGTCCGAACTGTAGTGAGTCCAATGAACAAAACAGGATTCCCTCCCGGGACGTTCGGCGACGTCTACATCCCCCTGAGGTTTTAGAAATTACAAATACCCCCTGAAGGTACTATTTGCATAACAAATTAGGGGACAAATTGTTATGAAAATATAAACCTCAGGGGGTAATTTGTTATGAAAATATAAACCGCAGGGGGGTATTTGTAATTTCTGAAACCTCAGGGGGTTATCTGTAATTTAGCTAAACCTCGAGGGAGGTATATGTAATTTGCCCTAATTTAAACTTGTTTTTAACTTTGAATTGTTAAGCCAAGATATGGTTTTTTTAATATATATGGGTAATGACGTATGTCGACAGATTTGATGATGCGGTGGTGGCGGCTCAAAGAGCAGCACAACTAGACTTAAGCAGCAAGGAAGTAAACATGGTGGTTGGGAGGACATGGGCGGTGGCAATGGCTCGATCCAACGGTAACGATTTGTTTAGGAGATAAAGATACTCAGAGGCTTGTGTTGCATATGGAGAGGGACTTGACCATGACCCCTACAACTCGGTGTTGTTGTGCAACAGAGCCACTTGCAGGTCCAAACTCGGTCAATTTGAGAAAGCAATCGAGGACTAGACTGCTGCCCTTAATGTGCTCCCATCTTACAGGAAAGCCAGATTAAGAAGAGTCAATTGCTATGCCAAGGTAACTAACTAACTACTAGTAGCCTATCCTATATGTCTATTTGTTGCAACATTTTTTGATTTTTTTTGATATTTATGAGCAGAATTTAAAAGGAATTGAATGCTCTTTGCACTACTAGAAATATGATGGTCTAAGTGCTTCATGCTTTACGTGTTAATGCATCCTTTTTCTATGCTTGAAAATAGGTTATGGCAAGCAAGACAAAGATCTACATTGTGCTCGAGTATGTTGGCGGGGGCGAGCTTTTTGACAAAATAGTAAGGCATTGTTTTTTGAGCTTCTACTCTCTGAGCACCTATAATTTCATTCATAATATAATAAATTGTGTAATGCATTACATCTTAATTTAGGCATTTGTTCATGTCATGCTTACCATTTTGTTGTGGTAATGTGTGTTCTATTGAGGCTCATTTATGTAAATCATGTGGGTACCAAGTCTTGTATTTGTCTGATAATATTCCCTTATTGACCCTTTTATAACTAGGCCAAACTAGGAAGACTTAAAGAGGATGAAGCTAGGAGATATTTTTAGCAGCTCATCAATGTTGTAGACTACTACCACAGTAAAGGTGTGTACCATAGAGACTTAAAGGTTTAACAAACTTTCTTACATATTTCATTGATTAATTAATGTATTTATTCTAATTTTTTCCTATAAAAAAGAATTTATTATCTAACAGTAATTTGGTTTCTTTGGCTATCTATTCGACCATGACTCTAAAATTTGCATTAGAAGACAATTGTCGTATTGTTCAGAGGAGTGAAATACTCTGGTCTTCTTCAATACTCTGCAACCTTTTGTAGTTGTGATACTTTTATGAAGGTTAAGAATGGCTCCATTTGGTTGATATGCATGAAAGTGGTTTTGTTTGTAGTTTGTAATCCTGTCAAGGCTCTTTAATGACCTATATTAATTTGGGCAATGCTTTGTAGGTTGTCGACTCCATTCATTTTTTTAACTTCATTGTCATAAGTTCTTGTTATATAATACCATTGATAGGATATGTAGTTCTTTGTTAGTTTCCCATGTTGATGTTATATCTCTACAATGGCATTCTTTGTTAGTTTCGTTTGTTGATGTTATATCTTTACAACAGGCTTATCAATCAAGCATGTTGAAGGCATTTAAAAAGACCCTTGATGAGGGGGTTTTCTCCCTTGTAATTGGTAAGAATTTTCTGTGGTGAAACTGCCAGATTATTTTAAAATTGAAAGCTTTATATTAGTTTTTTAAGTGTTCATATGTCTTTCCACCCATCCCCCCTTGTTTTGTAGCTGTTCATAATGTTTTGGCATTTGCATTGTTAAGATCTTCATTTCTTTTGAGATCAAATCACTTGCATCTTTTGTTTAAAATTTTTGATGTATCAAGTGTCATGAATTCTTTTTATAATTTTTTGCTTGTTTGTTCACTTCTTCCAGTAGTGTTCTGCTTGGTTGTACTCACTCCATTTACAATTTTGGACAGGTTCTACTAATTCTCCAAGATTGAAGATGGGTGGTACAATTGTAAAGAATGTTGGTAGTAACCTGAAGCACTGTTGGCAGATCATTGACATGAAGAATGGCTGCAGGGACTATTTTTCTGGGCGGATTGCAGCTGGTCTCAGGTGCTGAATGCCTTGATAGCAATCTATAAATATTTTGTTTGTTATGGTGTCCACTACAGAGCTAGTTTTTTTGAGCCTACCCTTGCAGGTTGTGCAAGGGAATACATATATTTTTGCTACGGCTCTATCGCTGCCGTTGACTGTGTTCATGGTCCGCATAATCCAATTATAAGGCCCCTAAACAGGTTCTGGTTTAGTGAGCTGCCCCAAATCCATGATTACATATGGTCTTATTGAGGGAAGAAATGGAAAATAATGTGTTTGTACCTCTTCTTTTAGGGATATTTGTTTATCTTTTTGGACATATCTGTACGATTTGTGGATAGGTTTTTTTTTTTTAAAAGGGAATTTTATTGAGGGAAGAAATGAAAAATAATGCATGAATGTTGAGATTTTTGCAAATATGTCTTTACGTTTATGGTATATAATATTTGAATACATATATGATTGTAGGTTTTGTTTTTGTTTTTGTTTTTTTTTTTTTTTTTGCGACGGTAAGAAGATGGTCGCTAATACATTTTTGTCATTTTCTAAACTTTTTTGCGACGGCAAAATACCAGTCGCTATAAGTAGGTTAAGCGGTCGCAAATAGTTTGCGACTGCTATTTTGCGATCGCAAAAAGTATTTGCCACCCCCACATTTGCGACCCTCATTTGCCGTCGCATGGGCCGTCGCAAAAAGTCTTTTGCGACTGTTTTTTTATTATTTGTGACGGCTTGTAGCGGTCGCAAAAAGTATTTTTTTTAGTAGTGCCCTCATATTTTTCAATCACCCAACATAATACTTCACTTATCCACCTTCTCCACCAATCATAATACTATGGAATACCACGTGTCCATGATTTGGAATTACTGAATAATTACCCTCAAGATCAAGTAACTATTTGTAATCGATGAACATAAATTTTTATAAAAATAAAATATTTGACGAGATTTACACATTGAATAAATTAAATCATTGATATGGGTTTCCTAGTGAACTCGTGGTAGCCTAATTATACTTTCAAGTCCAATATAGACTGGAGAAAAGCCTTGGTCCATATTTATATACCGACACTAAGTTTAAAGAGAATAAGGTACCGTTTGGTAGAGTTTTAGAAATATGATTTGAAAATAGAATTATATTTTGAGTTTGTGAGTTTTAGAATTATAATTTAAGTGTAGAAAATTTATTTAGTTAATTATGAGTTTTGAATTGAGTGTTGATTTGAGTTTTGAATGTTTGATGTGATATGTGAAATAAGAAATTTGTTTGGTTATGAATTTTGAAAAGAGTTTTCAAAACTTAATTTAAAAAGTTATAACTCATAACCAAACACACAATTCAAAACTCTATTGAAATTTCTAATCAACACCCATAACCAAACACTTTTTAAAATTCAATTCAAAAAATTAATTATCAACAAAAAAATAACATAAAACTTTTTTAATTGAAAATAACTCAAAAATTTATAACTCATAACCAAACACACAATTCAAAACTCTATTGAAAATTCTATTCAAAACTCATGACCAAACTCTTTTTAACATTCAAAAAAAAAAAAAAATGATGGTGGGTGTGCTTTATTTTTGCTTGGAGTATATATTGTTCTGGTCAACCGGTCGAATAACCGGCTAGACATCTGGGGACGTCCGGGGGAATGATCGGATAGATTTAAAATTCAATAATCATCTACTTTTGATAATGAAGAACACGAAAGAGAGAGAGTAACCAAACGTGAAAGAAAATTACATTTTAAAATGTGTGATAGAATCACATTTTGAAAACTTCATCCAAACCTAAAATATAAATGGAGGTGAAAGTATGTTTACCGAACATAACCAAACAAACTATTTATTAAGAGCTTCAGCCGCCGATGTTAAATCATGGATGAGGTAAACCATTTGTTGATCTCATTTTGAGTCAGATGTCTAACTCGTTGTGCAAAAACAATGGCCATCTATATGATATACTGAAAATAGAATTTTTAAAATGATTTAAAAAAAATTATTGTATCCCTATAATTTACTCTACTTAGGTTTATTTTCATTATAATTTATTAATTATATGGATGAAAAAATAATATTATCATTTATTTTATGCTAAAATGTATATATTATTCACGTTTATTAAAAAAAATCAATATTAATTTTATCAAATTTATAAAATTTACTATATTTTTGTAATTTACCCTTGTATATATATTAGAAATTCTATTGTGCAAGCCAAATATATTTTACTATCATTTATCTTTGGGAGGGGAATGTTTTTGACAAAGTCATTTGTGCAATAAAAGAGTTGCATGGGCCTTGTTTTGAAAGTAGAAATTTTAGTTAAAAAATCAATATAAAAAGTTAAATTATTCTCTTTATTTTTTTTATACTTTTTTTTTATTATAAAATATCAAAAATTATAAAAAAATTATTAAAAAAAATTAATTTCAAACTTCGAAGAAGTGAAGGAACATCATCAAATCCAAGTTTTGCCCAAAAAACAAATTGTATATAGTTTTCTCGTGCCATGCCCAAATAGTGATAACAGTACAAGTAATTACCAAAACGTAGGCAAACATATTATAGCTTAAATGAGTCAATTATTATTTATTTTATTTTAAAAATCTGTATTAAACTAAATTGAATATCAAAAAGTTAGGAGAAGTGTGGTTTTTTTACTATACTTTTTGATTATTAACTTTTAATTTATAAACAATTTAGTACAAATTTTTAAAATAAAAGCAATTCAGATATGCTGTACCAAACGATCAAAAAAATGAAAGTGTCCTTAAAAAAAATGATTCCAAGCTACCAAAAGAAAAAATAATAATAATAATAAATTAAAATTAACAGTAGACACAAACCGATTTATTTGGCTAATTGATGAACAAAATTTCTATGTACCAACACAATCAAACACGTATTTCATATCAAGTTTTTTCATTCAATCTGTACAATACATTTTACAAAAGAATCCGAAACCAAAAAAAAAAAAAAAACTGAAAAAAATCAAACATTTGATGGAATCTTTCCCAAAAAAAAAAGAGAGAGAGAGAATTTCACACTCCAAATTGATGGGTAAAAGAAGAAGAGAAGAAAAAAAATGCATACAAAATAGTATTTGTAATTTTGTATAAGAAAAAAGGAAAACAAACCAATTACTGCAAAATTTGCAATGGAGATCGACTCGTAAAACACAGATTCCATCACAGAGAACTTCAAACTGTTCCTTCTCATAATAATCATGAATTGTGCATAATTAAGCGACGTTGATTAAGGCGACATGGTAGTTGACGTGGACTCAATGCTATTAGCTCTGCAGTACCTGAGTTCCAAAGAAATTTGTCGATCTAATTGAAGTTGACGATGAAAATTAGCTATGAACATCTCAGCTCTCTTGTCAATATCATCTTCCGATACACAACTCGATGTTCTTGAAAGTGTTCCTCCTCGTCCACTTCCTCCTCCTAGGCTTGAAGATCCCGGTGAATCAAACAATTCAACAAAATCATCTTCGCAGCACGCTCTCAATCCAGGCCGGTCATTGAAACTCACCCTCCTATTGCTCTTCGTAATCATCGAAGCGAGTCGCCATCGATTAGCATTGAAATCTAGAAGAAATTTTATTTTGTTCACTGCGTTCCTTAGCCGCCCCAACAATCCCATGATTGAGAACTCTGAATAAATAAAAAAAAAAATGAAATGAAATGAAATGAAATAATATGATGGGTTTGTTGGATATGTGAGATTTGAATTATTGAATTTGGAAAAAAGTGGGGTCTATCGAATGTGTGGGGATGTATATATATATAGAGAGAGTGTGATTGGTCTAATTTTGTAGTCAGGTATGAGGAAATTGCTTAGCTGTGCGCATTTGGTTTGGTATTGACGTTAGGTAATGCGTAGCGAAAACAACAACCGTGTCTGGTGACGGAGACACGGCAAAGTGTGATGTTAGAGAAGGAGTCAAAAAAGT